CCCACCAGGCGCCAAGACGGGGGGGGGGGGGGGGGGGGGGGTTAGCAAGGAGTGGAGCCTTAACAAACCCCCTTAGCCGCCCAATGTCATAAATGGGCAACGAGAACAGGTACTGCAATAAAATCAGAGCATGAGGGTGGGAAAGGACCGCAGGTAATCACAGTCCAACCCCCTGCTCAAAGTAGGACCAGCCCCAAGTGGATCCCAGCCAAGGCTTTGTCTGAACACCTCCAAGGATGGAGAGTCCCCATCTCTTTGGGTAAGCTGCACTAGGTTGCAGCCATCAGGATTTTGGCACCGATATAACAGCAACCCGCGGGTGCCAGGTGGGGCTGGAGCGGACTACCACTCTACCACAGCCAGCACCCACGGGATTGCACTGAAGCTCGCTAAAAGACTAAAAGACAAAGTAAGTTCATTCCTGGGTAACAGACTGACCATACCAGCTGCTTCCTCCAGGTCCCAGACTAAGGAACAAGAGTGCATTGAGCACAGATGCACTGGGGGCCCGTTCCTGCCAGCCCACCCCCGTCGCCTGCATGGGGCAGGGGAAATGGAGACATGGGAGCATGGGAGGGTTGATAAAGGTTTTAATTCCACAAAAGAAAAGCTTATCTACACATAATTTAAAAACGGGGAGGGGAGGGCAAACCTCTAAAGATCCCAGTGGAACAGATCTGCTAAAACACAGAGAAGTGCTGCTCCACGGGAAGAAGGGAAGGGCCCCAATGATGGTCACGTGGCCTCCCCTTGACACACGCATATGGCAGGACATGTGCCTGCAACCCTGAGAGCCACCAAGCCAGGTGGCAGGCAGGTTCTCTGGTAAGGCCCCCACTGGATCCTGTCTTTGGTGATTGGTTACTAGCCCCAATTAGATCGGTTTAGAAAAGGAAGTGATGAGGCCTGTTGCTCCCCTGGTCCTGCCCGATGCCCCCAGCCTTGCCATGGGCCCTCAGTGTCCATACGAAGGTAATGCAGGCTAACCCACCGTTTCTCCCGTTGGCTGTAGCAGCCCTGTTAAACCCCTCATGCGAAGGGAAAGGTCCTCTCCCCCGCTAGGTAGGATGGGATGAAAGCCCAGCTAGAGAAGACGCATCCTTCCAGCACAGACCGCATCTCTCTGGCCAGTCTTGCCCTGCACGCACCTCTCTGATGGGCCCAGCAGCAATTCTGCTTTCCCCACTCCCGATATGAGCACAGCTATTGCACAAAGCAAATATAAGGAAGAGGCGAAACCGAGATCAACAGAAAGCTGACAAAAGATGAGGGGAAGAGAGGAGGCAAGAGCCCCCCGCGCTGCCCTTCCAGACTGAACTGTCACTGGACCAAACCGAACAGGCTCTGGGGTGAATACGGGTCTGAGCGAGGACCCTGCACTGCACCCTTGCTAGCTAGGCACACCCATGAGCCCTACTGGCATCGCTGTATTACCCCCCAAAAGCCTCCTGCTTCCCAGCTGGCTTGGCAAGAGCTTCTACTAAAACCATGAGGCCCAGAGGATCGGAGCCGCCCTGTAGCATTTTTAGCTACAAACCAGACTGACTGTAAAGGCCATACGGGGTGGCTAAGGCTGAGCAGCGTCAAGTTATTGTACTGAGATAGGCAGCATGGGAGGTGCACAGTGAAGGATGCTGGGGACACCTGGGCGTGGATCAGACCAGCAAGCTCCAGGGGGCAAGGTCACTGGCCCACAGGAGCTCGTTCACTGGCTGCTAATGACAACTCAAGTGAGAATGTAGTCTTCGCTCCAACAGGGAAACCCGGCTGCAAGCTGCCCCTTTGCACCAAGCCTGAGATGCGCACATCAGAGGGGCATTCAGGTGGCACCAGGCTCCCCAGAGGCATTTACACACGGATGGATCTGGGGGGCTGCAGGCTTAGATCCGAGGGAACTAAGTTCCCTGCTCAGTTCATTAGTGGACCTGACACTTTTAGCACCAGCGCTAGCTGCTCTTATAAGACTGGGGGAAAAACCAGAGGAAGGGGCGAGTCACGGTGGAGAACAGTGACTGCTCTAATGCCATGCTCCCCACCTTTTGCTCTGGGCCTCTACAACAAAGTCCTCTGGGAACTGCTCCCTCCCCAGTTCTATGCACCTTCACTTCAACAATGGAAAATTTGAACGGTTTATAACACCACGCTGTGGGCGGCCGGAGCTGTATCATCTTAATGGCAAAGCTTTGCCATGCATGTAGCAGGTCTGCATCTACGCCCGCTTAATGCAAGACCAGCACCTAGCAAGACCCCCCACTTCTTTGGTTGCAGTTAGTCTTCCACCCAGAAGCTCTGTGGACCCAGATCATCCCTATCTGATGCCCACTGTCATCAGAGACACATCCGCTTAGCTCTAGGTATTTTATTCCTGAGAAACTCCTCATGGTAGTTTTAAAACAGAACATCCTTGATAGCAAAGAAAGGGGGAAAAAATAAAACCCCTTCAACATCTGTAACCAGTTAATCCAATTGCAAAGAGGCAGAATTAGGGGCAAAACTCAATCAACTCCTCCAGTTGCTAATAACAATTCATTTGGGAGAAAAAAAACCCAAAAAAACAAACAGCAAACAAACAAAAAACCCAGCAGCTGAAGGAAACATCTGCCCAAGTTAAATAAAAGATGGTTTGAAGGTGCTAATAAGAATCAAATTGTGGGATGTTTTACTGAAACCAGGTATAAAACGAGCTTTGTGTTACTGAAGTCAACTAGGAAAATAGAAGAGGTAAAACACATGTGCCCTGAAATCTCTTCTTAACCTTGAAGTTCCCAAAGCTTCTCAACGGAGCTGGTTTACAGCAGTTGAATGCTCCAGACTCCTTAAAAGCCCAATAGATTTATAGCTACCCTGAAAGCACATCTCTCTCTGGGCAGTTCTGGGGGTCTGGAAGGTCAGTTTGAAACCTTGGCTCAGTCTAATGGAGTGATCCAAGGGTAATCTTGCTGACAGGTTTTCTTCACTCATTCAGTTTGAGATGATACAAAGAGACAAAGCTTTGCATGTGCAGACTCTGAAGGGGCTGGGCCAGAATGACAATTTCTGGTGTGCAACGACACGTGGCCAGGGTTCACTTCTGAACCTGCCGACAGGTCAAAGCTTACCTTCCACCCCATCCCATCAGCTGCGGCTGTCGAAGTCAAAACAAGGCAACCCTACGTGGTTTGAAGCCAGAGAGAAACATGCACATGGAGACAGATGCTTCCTCTGTGAGCTGCACCAAGCAACAACGCTATGGAAAGAGGCAGTCAGAGAATAAAACGTTCAAAACAAAACCAAACGTGCGTATAATAGCGTTAAACCGGGGGGACGAGGAACTCTGGCAAGGTGATGGAACGTAGCCGAGTCTTAAATACGTGCCACAGCACTGGCACTTTGTTTCCCAGCACTGCAAAGAAACGCCAGAGTGTCTACCATCCTGCTGACGTCAGGACACATTCGACTGGCACGATGCGGACACCCCAGCTAGCAGGGCAGACTGGCCATAGGATACTTGGTGTCGGGGGGTTTCCAGTGAATGTTACTAACACGATACAGGCCGGGTTACAGAATCTATTGCTTCAGTTGCTCTTGGAAAAGAAAAAGAAAAAAGAATAGAATGCCAAGTGATATGCAACTCTCCTCCCCACTCGCACGTCCTAGGCGAATGGGCCTGGAAGGTCTGGTCTCTCTGCACTACTGTGAGATCAGTTCATGAGCAGCTGTAGTCTGGTGGCTTGGTGTCACTCTTTAAGGCTCCACGCTGACAAAGCTATTCCCAGAACAATAAAAATCTTCCCCCTGCCACCCCCCAAAAGGAGGTGCTCTCAGGGACGCCAAGGCTGACGAGCGCGGCTCAAGCCCATGGTTCGGCAAGTCGAGAGTCCCATGTTTCTCACGCTCCGTCTCTCCCTGAGCAGTTTGTTCTCCTCCACATCTGGCACAAGTTCAGAATTCCCCACAGTCAGGAGGAACGAGGTACCCTGCTCTTCACAGGGGCTGGCGCACAGACCTTCCCGCTTCCGTGCTCAGTGGCTGCGCGTTCTTCTCTGCTTCTAGCAGCTCCTCAAAGATATCCCTAGGAAGGCGGAGAAAGGCACATCATGAGATCAATGACCAAAGAGTGACTGGACAAGCTGAAGACAGGTGTGGTGAACAAGAAGTTGGATTGAGGCCTCAGAAAAATTCCAGATGATGGGAGTTAAGCCAACAGAGATACCCCACAGATCTCTATGCCCAGCCCCATGAATTCATAAGCAGCTCAGGACTAAGTTTTTGGTTATTACAAAACAGTTTGACAACAACAACTGTTAAGACTTGATGGGAAGAGGGCAACAAAACTAGAATAATTAGCTAGTGCCAGTGAAACGGTTGGAGGGAACAAGGGCACTGATAAACAGGATAAAACAAGGGGAAAACAGATGTGTGGGACTGACACAGATAATACTGCTGCGATACCACACCACCTCCTTTAAATGCGTCTTTAACGCTAGGCTGGCATCTCATTGCAACCGGACATATTCATGGTAGATTTGTGCACTATCACAGGACTCTCTCTCAGACTCTTAGGGCAGGAACAAAATTAAGATCCGCAGAGAAGCCCTCAACTTTGAGGAGGGTAGTCAGGAGAAGGGAGATCATAGAAATCATAGAGAAGTAGGGCTGGAAGGGAGCTCCAGAGGTCACATCTAGCCCAACCCCTGCCCAAGTCAGCCCTGTTCAAACCATCCTATACAAATCTACTGACTAACCTCTTAGTACAACTACTGTCAGCCCTGACATGACACGACATCCAAACTTGCCACAGGGACTGTGGCAGCTAATGTACTGCTGCTGCAAGGGTTATTAATATATGTTTGAGACCCCCCACCATCTGTATCAATCTGACCATGGAATAAAATTCCTTCCTGACCCAAAATGTGGCATTGGTTTGACCCTGAGCAGAGGGGCAAGACCCCCTAGCTTGACGTCCCAGCAGGAGTACTGGCACAGCTGCCAAAATCCCCAGCCTGAGCTGCTGCCAACTCCAAGTGCCTCTAAGGAAAGCTTAAGAAAACCCCCACATCTGACACATGTAGCAGAAAGGGGGCGATGGAGGGATTCCCTTTCAACCTCGTGTGGCAATGTGTAAAGCCCAGAAGCCTGGTACACCTCCACAGCAGATCACTTGCTGAGCCTAGATCATCCTCATCCAGTGGCTGGTCAACCTTTTCTTGAAGGCCTCCAATAATAGAGTCCTCTCCTTCCCTGGTGCCTCTCCCATGGCCTCCCTGCTCAGACAGTGAAGAAAAGTTTCCTGAGATAAGCCTGCTTTGCTGCAACTTCTAGCCCTGGGTTTGCATCCTGTTCTCTGTGGCAAGAGAGAAATGGCTTTTTTTTTTTTTTTTTTTTTTTT